AGAGCCGTTGTGGGAAGTAAGTGAGACAAGAGTGGAAAGCACCTGGCATGGTGCCTGGCATGTGGTAAATGCTTTGCAAACGTTGGTTACTACTATTGAGCCACTACCACTTTTATCTGAGGCTGACTGGCAGAGTGGCGGTGTTTGATTCAGTCCATCCTGGCTCAGAGTGTCCATCTTTATAGGTGAGGCCCCTCCTTTCCCCAGGAATACGGTCTGCTGGTATCTGCACATCCCCATCATAGTCCCAGTAGGAGGTCATCTTCAGCACCTCATGGGCAGCCAATTAATAGTGAAGTATCATGGGCATCTACCTTGGTCACCCATGGTTATTTAGCATTAGGGACCCAGCCTTCCCAGCCAGTGTTCTGGGTGGCTTCACACACAGATAAGCCTCACAGGGTACCTGTGGCTTCAGGTCTGGTCCTGGCCAGCTTCTGGGGAGCGAGGGCTGAGCTTTGTCAGAGTCAAACGCCTTTACCACTTCATGCCCAGCCTGTGGTCCCTTGCCTCTGTCTGCCCAAAGGGGCCCAGAATCCAGGCCACTTCATAGCTCCAGTGAGGGCTAGGTATTCCTTGCAGGCTGCAATAACAAACTGAAGAGCCATCCAGGTTCCTACCCAACTCCAGCCCAGAGGGGACCCCACCCACCATTCCAGAGGTCCTTGTCCCCACAGCCTTGGGAACAGGCCTGGACGTGTCAGCCACTTGGCTGACAAATGAGACTTCATGTGCAGAGCCCCCTGCCCCAAGTGAACACTGGATTGTGAGTTAGGAGACCTAAGTTCTAAACCTGGCATTCACATCATCAACCAGCTGTGTGACCTGGGGCAAGTCACTTACCTTCTCCAGGCTTTAGTTACCCCTTCATAAAAGGAGAAGCCTGGAGCAAATGATCTTTAAGGCCTCTTCCAACTCAGGTATAGGATTGTAGCATAATGCCAGGTACGTACATAGTAGGTGTTCAGGAAATGTTTATTTAGTAATTTAACTCTAAGAGTCAAGGCAAGATTCTGCAGGTCCCAACACCCACCTACTTCCTCACTGTGAGTTTTGCCTCTGCTATTAGCTAATTTGTGTCAAGTGTCAGCTCAGAGCCTGGCACATAATAGGTATTAAACCAATGTGAGTTGAGTCCACATATGCAGTAATTTACAGTAGCCCAGAGACTGAAGACAGAACTGACCGAACATCAGGGGTGGGTCCTGGGATCTCAGGGTGGCCACGCATTCCTCCTTGTTATAAGCTGTCTTCCCTTCTGGGCATGTGAAAGTCATTGCTTTGGGGCTTAGAGTACCCAGCAATCATCACTACTTCACTACTTCTTGTTCCCTGAGCAACGGAGGCCCTACTTTTGCTCACACTGTTCCGTCTGCCTATAGAACCTGTCAGGGCTGCGATTTACCCCGCTTACAGGCTAATAAGCTAGCCTGCTGTTGTTTCATGAATGTGGGCAGAAGACACGGTTTCCTGAGTCAGACTCAAAGGATTTACCATTCTTGGCACAGCACGCAGCGTGAGCATCATCCTTATGTCTCTTTCCCTTGTTCCCTAGTTACATGGGGGCAAAGCAGAGGGGTCCAGGTAGATGGGTTACCCATGCAGGAGCTTTATGTCACAGCTACAGAGCACTGAGCTTGGAGAACCCACCCCTGTCCCTTCCTACCCCCACCACTTTTATAGTAAGCAACAAGCAAGCCTGCTCTTTGGGAGATGTTCCCTTATCCCACAACGTTGCTGGCTGCAGAACACAACGATGAGAAGTGGTGGGAAAGCGAATGGGCGACCAGGGCTCTGCATTCTTAGCACACTCAGTGCTAAGAGCCAGAGCTGCTCAGGCCCCATGGTGGACTGCCTTGCCCAACAATGCCTAGCCCCGATCTCTGCTTGTCACAGTTCTATCCACTCTCCAGAGACACTTCAGTCTGAAAGCTTTCCCATCCCTCCCGTCACACATACTCTCCCTTTTGGATTTCCTTGCATCCACCTCTTTCTTTTGTGTCCACAGCTGTCCCTCCACTACCAGAAAAAGTGTGAACACTGTGAGGGCAGGAGCTTTTGCTCCTTATTCCTACATTCCACACCCCGATTGTTTGCATCCCGTAGGTGCTTAGGTCTTATTTGTTGAGTTGGAGGAATCAAGATCTTCTTGCATGCTTATGCTTTTGTAGAGTCTCCTGGGACTGCTGCTTGGCATGTCTTCAGGATTCCAGAGGCTAAAAATATCTCCCCAAAGCCACCCCATTTGCTTCCTTGTAAGGAGCTGGACTTAGCTGTGAGGTTGCAGGTTTGCGCCCACCAGGTGGCGCTCTACCCTTAAGTCTCCAGATGCCTTTTTTAGGCGACAGAGGGACTCTCTTTTCTCCGTCTAAATGTTTATTTGGTTAGGTCCCGGGCTCACAGAGGTAGTTTGTGTAGTATAACCCCGTCATCAGCCCAGCACCCAGATTCAGCCCCCAGGTGCCTGTCCTAGCTCCAGCCCTTCTCAAGATTGGCACCCTGAGGACATCGAGGATGTCTCGCCAGGGATTGATTGCTAAGGGATGCTGAGTTTAGAAAGGCCCCAGAACTGGGATCAGAAGACCTAGGTTTGAGTCTCTACACTGACCCTTGCCAGTTCTGTTTCTTTGGGCAAGTTATGTAACCTTTCTGGGTCCCTGTAACAGTAGCTGAGAATAAAATATGGGAAACTATATATAAGCACTTTGAATGTCACCTAGAGCCAGCCACACCTGGGCTCCTGTTTAAACTGTCACCCATCAGCTCTGTGAACATGGTCACCTTCCTTAACCCTCTGAGTCCTGGCTTCTCCACCAGCAAATGAGAGATAACATTGCCTAGAATATAGGGGCGCCTGGCTGGCTCAATCGGTAGAGCATGTAACCCTTGATCTTGGGGTGAGTTCAAGCCCCACCTTGGGCATAGAGCTTACTTAAAAAAAACAACAATGAAAAACAGTGCCTAGAGCATAGTAAGCATTTAATTAATAATGATCACATATGTATTATGTATCCCTAGACCCTAAAATAGTGCCCAGTGCCTAACAGTTGCTTAATACCCATTTGCTGAATGAAAGGCTTTCACAGATGAGGAAACTGGGGCACAAAGTGGTTATGTGCGCGTGCGCACACACACCCCAGGTCCCAGCACAAGGGAGTGGTGAAGCAGTGATGCATAGCCAGGCAGTCTGCCTCCACGGTTTGCAGCCTGAGTCCCAATACCATGCTATCTTACACAGATATGGATGTTATACATCACCTTTTATTCATTTAAAATAAGCGTTCAAGCTTTCTCAGGTCCCTGCAGGCGGGGCTGTGCAGCGAGAGGCATTAGTCCCCTGAGAAAACCACATATACTTTCTCCTACAAGGGGAGGGGGGCAGGCTGCTGGAAGAGAGACCTGCTCAGCCAGGCCAGGGGGCCAATGGCCACATCACATGACCAGGAGATGAGGGGCTAGTTCTGCAGGTCGGGTTGGCTGGGGGACTGAAGCATGCATGGTCCCCAGGTATGAGGGCCCTCTCATTTTCATTGCTGTTCCCACAGCCACTTGGTCATCCACTCTGTGGACATCTATTGAGTCTCCCCTGTGCCAGGCAGAGATGGTGACAGCCGGCACTTGCAATGTACCAGACTCAGAAGTACCGCAGAACTACTGGATGCTCCCAGACAGGGCCTAACGAGCCAGCAATCAACAGCCTGGGAGTCTGGACCCAAGGGAGGAGCATTTAAACTGGGCATTGAAGGATAAGTAGGAGTTTGCCAGCCAAGTGGGGTCTGGGAATGAAGGGCATTCTGAGCTTATTTGGGGGAATCTGAGAGTTTTGGTGGGGTTAGCATGCGGGGTAGGAGCATGGGTAAGGAAAGGAAGTGGAAAACAAGAAAAGTGAAAGTCAGTTGGAGCCAGTTTGTGAAATATGCCCGTAGAAGAGATAGAACTCTATCCTGTGGTCAATGAAGGAAGCAATGCAACACCAGGTCTGTGTTTTAGAGGTCTGTGTTTTAGAAAGATGTCACAGTGAACGAAGGTTGAATGGGATGAAGCGACAAGAGACACCAGCTGCAGTTACCAGCTTCATGGGCTTAACCTCTCTAGACCTCATTTCTCCTCCTCAGTAAAAGGAGGGAAATAATTCTCTCTCTGAGGCTGTCTTGAGGCTTACATGGGCATACATGTAAAGGACAGGGTAAAGCATCATTAGGTTCCATTAGAGGCTGTTTCGCCTAGTAGTTAAGGGCATGGTCTTTGCTGTCTCTTACTCTGGGCTTTGTGCCCTGGCCATGTTGGGTAGCACATTTTTAATCGAGGCAACACTGGATGGCAAGGACGTTGGAAAAATGAGGATGGACTGATAGGACTTGGCTTTGTGGTGTGTGCCAGGGGCAGTGGGGTCTCTGGTGGGGGACGGTCCCTTTCTCTGATGTCTGAGAGCCTTCGGACCAGAGAAGTGTGAGGTGGACATATTCCAGATGTCCAGGTGAGAATGGATGTCAGCTTAAGACTAGTGCTGCTCTCCTCCAGGACCAGGAAAAGGCCAGGAGGCCCGGGTGGACCCCAGGGCAGGAGAAAGTAGAAAGAAAGGGGCCCAGCGAGAGGCCGAGAGAACGCTCCAGAAGACAGCTTTCCCCTCCGAGCCAGGGAGGCAGGGGAGGCAGGGTGGCCCCAGATGTGCCAAACTTGGCCCGGGCGGCCAGAGCGGAAGGCCGGCGGTCGGACCGGAGGGGGCTGGTGGGGGGGGGGGGGCCCCCCGCCGCCCCCGGGGGGGGAAGGAAGCCGAGCTGGGAGTCTGGCGCCTGCAGGAAAGGGGGGCCGGAGTGGCGAGCGAGGCCCAAAAGAGATGGCAGAAAGCCGGGAAGAGCGAGTGGGGGTGGAGACAGGGAGGGGAAGCCAAAGGGCGGGTAGGAGTGGTGGAGACAGGGAGAGAGAAAGAGAGGAGGGCTGGAGGGTGGAGAGAGGGGAGGAAGGGTGGGGAGAAGCGGAGAGGAAGCGCGAAGGGGCCTCGGAGGGACGCGAGGAGGCCGCCGCGGGCGCAGCGGGCACGTCGGCCGGGCCACCCCCGCGAGCCGGGCGCCGCCATTCCGCTACTCGGGGCTCCGCCGCCGCCGCCGCCGCCGCGCCCGGGGGCCATGCTCCCGCCGCCCCCGCGCCAGCCCCCGCCCCAGGCGCGCGCGGTCCGCGGGGCGGTGCGCCTGCACAGGGCCTTCCTGCGCGGCCCGCTGGGCGTGCTGCGGCTGCTGCAGCTGCTGGCCGGCGCCGCCTTCTGGATCACCATCGCCACGAGCAGGTACCAGGGCCCCGTGCACTTCGCGCTCTTCGTGTCCGTGCTCTTCTGGCTGCTGACCCTGGGCCTCTACTTCCTCACGCTGCTGGGCAAGCACGAGCTGGTGCCCGTGCTGGGTTCGCGCTGGCTCGTGGTCAACGTGGCGCACGACCTGCTGGCGGCCGCGCTCTACGGCGCCGCGACGGGCATCATGATCGCGCAGACCCAGAGCCACAGCTACTGCAACCTCAAGGATTACCAGATGGCCTGCGCCTACCACGCCTTCTTGGCGGCCGCCGTCTGCGGAGGCCTCTGCCTCGGCCTCTACCTGCTCTCGGCCCTCTACGGCTGCTGCCGCCGCTACCAGGGGGAGCAGGAGGTGGCGTGAGCCGCCGCGCCGCGGGGCGGGGACCCTCCCGAGACCGGCGCCCCCGTCCTTCCTGCCGCCGCCGCCCCGCGCCCGTGCGCCCCGGCACCCACCCGTTGCCCTGCGCTCCCGCCCGCGCCCCGGCGCCCTGGCCGGCCGTTCCCGTCCGACAGCAGAGCCGCCGCCTAGCGTCCGGCCCGCCGCGCCGCCCGCGCCGGTTCCTGGGACCCGGGCAGGGCCGCCTCCGAGGAGCGGGCCCCCACACACCCTGGCTGTCCGAGGCGAAACCTCGCGCTTCCTCGCCCCCTTCCGTGCCGAGAGCTAGACGTGGACAGGCGCCGCGTAGATCCGGGGGAGGCTCCCAATTGGAACCAGCCTTCTGGCTGCGCCACTGCCCTCTCGCTCCCGCCCCGCTGTCGGAAGAGCACCCCTGTTCCCTGGCCCCTCTTTCAGCCTCGAGCGCTGTGAAGGGCAGTCTCGCAGCCGCGGGCAGAGCTGAGGACAGGCCTCCACTGGTCTCAGGATGAGCGAAGAGTTTTCGTTTCAGCTCGGGGTTGTGAGGGCATCCTGCGCAGTCGGCGCTCTGATTTGGGTGGGGCCCGTCTGCAAAGGTGAGGATGGATTGGAAAGGCCTGCGGGCTGCACCTTTGCACTTTTGGAGTCTTCTCTCGCCTCTGCCTGCTCCGCGTTTGTCCTCGGGGTTCCTGGAGGCCAGGCCCAAACGCACACTAGCTTCTCTGGTCTCACCTTCCCAGACTTCCTCTCACGGGCTTCTGCTCCACCACCCCCACCTCCCAATATCTTTTTGCATTAGGGATCCCACAGGACCCTAAAGGAGTGTCAAGGGGAGCCTCACCCCTTGCTCTTGGGAAAGCCAGAATAAGATTAGATCCCCGTTTCCGGTTTCCCATTAGAACCACCTTCCCATACTCCCAGTCCAGACTGTTTACATCAAAGCAGTGGGTGTCTCCGGGAACCCTAGCTCTGGGGCTACCCTCTAAAAGAGGGTTTCAATGCCAAATGGGTTTGTCAAGGTGCTATCTCGCTTTTTTGGAGATTCACGATGCTCATTAGCATATCAAAGACTCTCAGAAGTCCCGCTATAAAAGAAGCCCAAGTAATTTAGTTTACAGTGTTACCTGCCTCTGGACCTGGACCAATTAGATTTTGCCACCTAAGACTTCCAAGCATCCCTGTGCTGGCTTGGCTGTCATTCATTCCTAAGGGATCCAACCCATTGGCTATGGTATGATTGAAGATCTGGAGTGCTCCTTCTCTTTCCCAGGGAATTTCTCTAGCAGAGGGAGGGCTTGCCTCAGTGGGGGAGAAGATAGCTGTCCCTGCCAGGCCCGCAAGAGACGTGGGAATTGATGGGCCTGAATGTTCCTCTACATTGTTTGAAAAATGAAGTCAAGGTTATCCAGATGGCTTCCCAGTCAAAAGGAACATTGCCTATAAGAGATGCTGGCATTGACTGTGAGCAACTGGCAGGAGTGGGTCTCACTCAGCGAAGAGAGAAGAAAACTCCAAAGTTGGGATGAACAGCTGGCCCAGCCTCTGTAAGGTGAGGTGCTTCTTGACTTTCTGGAGGGGGTCATAGGCCTTTGAATAAAAAACACAGAGCCCCCTTTGCTGAAAGGTAAGGGGCTTTTATTCAGGGAGCAAGTGGGAGGGGTGACCACCACAATGCCCAAAGGCTTGTACCAGTGCAGCCTTTTTTCTACATCCTGCAAAGGTCTGCTCTTGGAAAAAGCTCAGCCCTGTCTGGATTAGAAACTAGAATAAGGGGAGGCCAGAATGTGTTTTGGGGAGCGTGTTTTTAAAGCTTAGGTAGAGAGGGTGAGGCTTTTCTGTTGTAGCTATGAAGACCTGGGAGCGGCACAGTGCGGAGCATGGAGGCGTTTATGCGGGGCACTGCTTGGAGCACTTAGACATATTTCTTTCATTCTTTCGGCCCTACTGAGGTGAGTTGTGTTCTTGTTCCCTAGGAGGCAGAGGAGTGACAGAGAGGTTAAGTCCCTTGTCCAGAGCCTCCCAGACGGTGTGATGGGTAGAGCTAGGGTCTGGACTCTGGCAGTTTGGCCTCCTCAAGACAGGGCTGTACTCTCTAGAGTAGGGGGTCAATACATGTTAGAGATGGGTCATGTGGCTACTTTAAAAACAATCGTGGTAAAACATACATAGCATAAAATTGACCATGCGACCATTTTAAAGGTCTGCACCTTTGCACTTTTGGTGCACGGTTTGGTGGCCTTAGGTAGGGTCACAGTGTTGTGCAACTATCACCACTGCCGGGCTCCAGAACATTTTTCATCTTGCAAGACTGAAACTCTGTATCCGTGACAACTGTGGTTATTTTTGTTGTTGTTGCTACTGTTACTTTCTCTCCTTCGGGAAATCCTAGAACACTGAGCCCTTCACTGTCTCATTTAGGCTGGAGTCCTGCCGCCTTCCTCCAGGCAGGACACCTGTTCTCTCAGCCCTCACCGCTCGTGCCGGCCCGAGCGTGTGGCTGGCCTTGGCCGGGATACTTGGAGGTGCCTCGGATGGCCCGTGACTTTGGTTCTTCTGTTGCAGGTTTGCATGTTGCTGAGACCACAGAGATTCCCGTAGCGGTTCGGCCGACCTCTCCCAGGGCTCGCTTCCCTTGGCAGGGGACGCCATTCTGGGCTGGGCCAGCAGAGGGCTGCAGAGTGGGGAGAGTGGACGACCTCTGCCCGGCAGCTTCCCTTCAACATTGTCCAGGGGAAGATCCAAGATGCGTGAAGATTCATTTTACCGTCACACAAGAGAAATTCCGATTCTCCCTGTGCTGTGACTTGGGCCCAAGATTCCAGACACATGGAACTGAGCTGTGCACCTCCGTGCCCTAAACAATGGGTTTTAGCTACAGCTTTTGTTCCTTTTCTCTTTTTTCAGATCACCATTGAAGTTGCATGCTCAGCTCAGAACCAGACCCCCAGCTCATGGTGCTCTGTCTGTGGTCAGGTGACCTTACTCAGGAGTAGACGTCTCCTTGGCCTTCCTGGTACCTTATCCATGCAGATGTGCCTGAAACATTCCAGAGCTCACTGGCTCTTCTAAATGTGCCTTCCTGCTTGGCCTCCAGCTGCTTCTCCAGATGTGAGAAGGACATGTAAAATAGCCCCCACACCCATTCCCTCCTCCCCCTGAGACCCTGTACCATAGGAATGGCCACCTGACCTGGCCCAGAATTTTTGAATACTGGAGCCAGCCTCCTTGGCCTCCCTCATTAGACTCCAGGACTCAGTCCAGCTTGAGACCACTGTGGACTCCTACCAGCCCAAAAGTCTAGGACCACTTGCGGATCCAAGAGAGGATTTTTCCACTGTTCTACAAAGGCCAAAAGAGAGGGTGGCAGTGGGAGGGGTGTGGGCCAGTAGCGAGAGGGGACCGATGTGCCTCATTTAATAGTTTAGTGGTGGTTACTAATTTGCTTTTTGGAATAAAGTTTGGTTTGTCTGATGTTGGTGTGTATGTCTTCTCTCCTGGCCCCCTGCGGTAAGCCTATGTACTGCGTCTCCCAGCCTCTCTCCAGCCTCTTCTGATTTCCTTCTGGGAGGGGAAGAAAAATGAGTTCACAGGTTTTCAGTGCATTAGGGCAGGACACAGGAAGCAGAGGGAAGAAAACTGCCTGTGTCTGCCCCTGACAAAAGCTGGTGGGAATTGCAGAGGCTCCTAGCCCAGCTCTCAATGACTCCTCTGTTTTTGGAAGCTCCACTCCCTGATGGGCAGGCACAGAATGACTATGGTTATGGAGCCAAAGGGTCCTGTTCTAGTCTGACTTCCTTACTTTGCAGAAAGGGAAATGAGCCCCAGGGAGGAGTGGCGCCTTGCCTGGTGCCACAGAGCTGAGTGGAGGTTGAGTGGGGTGTCCTGGGGCTCAGGCTCTGATGCAGACCATAGCACCTCCTCTGGTATTGCCTCTTGGACACACCCCACCTGGTTTCCCCAGATTCCAGCTACAGCCTGACGAATAGGTGCTTTGGAAAGAGCAGGAAAGCAGAGTTAGCAGGCTTCCTTGCCAGTTCCTCCCTCCTGTGGCCCAAACCTCAACTCTGCAGCCAGAACATAGGATTCTACGGGCAGATCTCAGAACTCACTTAGAACAGCTCCAGGCAGGGATCGGATGCTGGGTGTGTTGCACACCCACTATCTTCCAAATCACCCTCCCCGGCACGATAAACACACACACACCCTCTTCATGGTTTGGATTTCCAGGGTGGAGGAAAATGCCAAGGACAACCCCTTATTCCCCTCTTCCCTCTGTGTCTATTCATGAATTTTGCACAAAATAAAAAGTGGCCTCCCTTTATGCAAAGGCTGGTTAGCCTCCTGCTGTTGTAGCTCTGTGGAGAATTTTGCAACTGAAAATATGTTCCTACTTGCATGACCTTTTTTGATCCAGTTAACAGTCTTAATAGTTGGCATTGTCACGCCCATTTAATAGGGGAAATAGAGCCTCAGAGAGGAGAAGGGCCTTGTCCGTGGTCACACAGCTGGCTACCGGCAGGACTGGGACTGGAAGGCAGATGTTCTCTCACTCACCTTAGCAGCTGGTAAGTCCCTGTGGTCCTCTGGCAGGCTCTGAGGTTTAGGTGGAGTTTGGTTTTCATTCCTGCAGATCAGGTGTTCAGGCCTGGTCTAATCTGACATTTCCTGTTTAATGCTGGGGGCACTTTGAAATAAGACACGGCTCTTCAGGGATATAATTGAGTCTGGGGAATCTGAAGGATTTGTTCATTTATGTCTATTAGTTTTCCTGCTTCTCTAAGGATGGGAGTGGGGTGGTCAGGGGTGAGAATAAGTTAATAAACCGACATTTTTGCAGGGATAAAAGGGAAGAGGGATGTGAGAGAGAAAGGTCTGGTTAGCTCTGTTTATTCATGTTTGTATTGTCTCATTTGTTACAGTAGTTATTTGTTAAATAAAATACCTATATATATCCATTAAAATATAATAACAATATATGCCCATTAAAAATTAAACTGTACAGAAGGGTACAAACTAAAAAGAGAAGCCATTCAATCATCCTAATCTCAAATGCTAGAGATAAACCATTGTTAACTATTAACTCTCCCCACCTTTTTTCTAAGGGTTTTATTTATTCATTTGAGAGGGAGAGAGAGCATGAACTGGGGGGAGAGGGAGAGGAAGAAGCAGACTACTCGCTGAGCAGGGAGCCAGATGTGGGGCTCCGTCCCAGGACCTGGAGATCATGACCTGAGCTGAAGGCAGACGCTTAACCAACTGAGCCACCCAGGTGCACCTTAAATCTACTCTAATTTTTATAACTAATCGAACATACATAGACACGTGTGTGTGCGTGTGCACACACACGCACACACACATATATACATCTGACTCTTTTACAACTTGCTTTTTAAAATTAATGCTAATATAGTTCTAACCCTTTCTAAATGTCCATATAAATAGTCGGGGACTACCAGAATTTTGTGTACTTTCTGGAACGTTTATAACTTTCCCACATTGGTTAACTTTGTCACTCCCTTGGCTGCTTCCTGTAGAAATCTTAGTAAAACCCATGAAATGGGGTGGGTTCTTTTTTGCAGATGAGTAAATAGAGGCTTAGGAGGGGTAGTGAAGTGACTCACCAGGTCTGTGTCAAGAGTAGCAGGGCGCGGAGGGAGCACTGGGGTGGCTGTATTCCACCTCATAGCCAGGGACTGGTGGGGGCAGCTGAAAAGAAGTGAGGAGGGCCCGAGGCTCTCTGTGTCCTGTAAGGCAAGGGAGAGGTACGCTGAGGTAGCCAGAACCCAAAGGAGAGCCCCTGACATAGCCAGCAGAAGGGTACAGACCACCCACAGCAACTTCAGGCTGTGGAAATCCCAGTCAGGCTCCTAATCAGAAAGCCCTTTCGCCCTCCCTGTTCCATGACCCCATTCCTTTGGAACTGGATGGCTATTTGGGATCTTGCTGGCACCAGGGCTGTGACATTCTTTCCTCAACACTGAGGTGAGGGCAAGCTCCCAGAGGCAGTGCGTCCGCAGGTTCCTCTCCATCTCCCAGAGGTGGGATGCGCGTTCTCCTTGCTGCCATCTCCAGGGGTCCTGAAGGGGGCGCTCTGATGCCCCAGTTGTAAAGCATTTCCGAGTCAGGTTTGGCAAGAGGGGAGAAAGGGAACTATATGAAGTGTCTGCGCTGAGTCAAGAACAAGTCGGATGTTATATAACATCACTTGTCATCCTCACAAGCCCATGAAGTATTAAATGCCCCCATTTGCTAGTCGTGGAGACAGGTCAGGAGGGTAAACTGATTTCCCCAGGTCACTTAACGTGACAGAAACAAGATTCAAACTCAAGTGTGTGCTCCCATGCCTTGCGGTTTCCGAGGACTTCCCAGCCAAAGACCCCACCGAGAGCTATGCTGGGTTTTCTAATAGCTGTGTTTTGAGCTAAGGCAGGAAGGAAAGACTGTAAAGAAAGTGATATCATTACAAATCTGAATTATGTCAGCTACTCCCTTCCTGGTTTTACAGTGAAGTTAGGTTTAACCAGCTCACTGTGCTGAAGCCACTCTCCTGGTTCCTGGAGACCATCTGTCTGTCTGCCTGAGGTAAGAAGGACTCAGAGTGCCCCTCCACTCAGCCCTCCCTCCTCCTAAGAACTCGTGCCATCCGTGTGGCCACCTGACCTGATCCCAAACTTGGATAGGGAACCCTCTGCCTTTCGAAATCTTGTTCTGTACTCTGTGCTGGCTCCTTCTGTGTCTCCTAGGCAGTTAATATGACTGGCTCTGATTTTGAGGTGAGCTCCGCCTGTGACGTCAGAAGCGAGGCCAATCTCTTATTAGTTGTCTGTTCTTAGGCAATTTACTAAAGCTCTTCATCTGTTTCATTGCTCCCTAAACGGGGTTCATGCTACTAGCTGCCTCCCTGGTCCGTGGGAAGGGCTTACTGAGACGAGGCACACAGAACAGAGTGTCCGGCAACTAGTCAGTGCAGGTCAGCTCTCAGCTGTGTCGTGTTGTTGGGGGGACCTCAGGTGATGTTTGTAAGGTGCAGAGCAGAACCACAGTACGTGCTTGTAACTGTTACTTTCCTTCTCCCCGACGCTACCCTGGCTCTCTTCCCACCTGAGAAATGACAATCTCACTGGCCACGGATTGATCCCTCCACTGTTCTTTCCCGTGGTCTGAGTTGAGCTTTCTTGAAAGATAGCACAGAAGTGTTAAAAGTTACTGTTAACTACATGAAGGTCGGGATCCTCTTTTCTCCAGAGCCCAAGGTCCTTCTTTGCCTTCCGTTTTATTCCCTGGAGCCTGCTCTGTGCTCCCAGTAGTACCCCCGTCTGCCTCCTTTCAGCCTGGAAGGAGGATGTCCTGCTCTCCTTTTGTTTCTTGAGGTGCCAGCCCATCTAGAGAGAGATGAACTGACCGCGGATTCTCAGGTGTCAGTGGTGAGATGTTCACAGATTCCCCTCATTATGTTTTGCGGGCTCCTCCGTGACTGCACTCAAATCAAAATTTGTCCAGGCACGGGGGCGGGGGCGGGTGTTTCTGAGTGGTTGGCTTCCCTCACTGTTTTGTATCTGGGCATCACAACACATCTTTCCTCCCTTCCCTGGTAAACTGTAAACTCCGTTGTATTTATCAGCTTGTCACCCTCTCCTCCCAGCCATCCCAAGGGACTAGTGAACTTGCAGGTTTTTTTTTTTTTAAAGATTTTATTTATTTATTTGAGAGAGAGAGAATGAGAGAGAGAGAGAGCACGAGAGGGAAGAGGGTCAGAGGGAGAAGCAGACTCCCTGCTGAGCAGGGAGCCCGATGTGGGACTCGATCCCAGGACTCCAGGATCATGACCTGAGCTGCAGGCAGTCGCTTAACCAACTGAGCCACCCAGGCGCCCCTCAGGGTTTGTTTTTTAAATTAAAATGATGAACTACCAGGGTGCCTGGCTGGCTCAGTTGGTAGAGCATGTGACTCTTGATCTTGGGGTTGTAAATTCAAGCTCCAAGTTGGGTGTAGAGGTTACTTAAAAATAAAAATCTTAAAAAAAAAAAGATGAACTACCTCAGTGATTTTTTTTTTAACCTCAATGATCTTAACATAGGTGGATGGAGTCTTTTTGCAGTGACCATGATAGTGATGATAATAATATTGTTGATAATGGCATTAATAGTAATAAAGATTACACAATGTCCCTGTAATCTTATATTCACAGTTTGTGAAATATTTTTACATCTAGTTAATTCCATCCTTATATGAACTGGTGAACAGTTCAGATAATAACTGCATTTTGTAGATGATGCTCAGAAGGGGGAAGTGTTTGCCTAGGTGTTTTTTTGTTTTTAGAGAGAGTGAGAGTCCGCGTACTCACAAGGTGGGGGAGAGAGGCAGAGAGAGAATCTTAAGCAGGCTCATTGCCCAGCGTGGAGCCCAATGCGGGGCTCCATCTCATGACCCTGAGATCATGACCTGAGCTGAAATTAAGAGTCAGACGCTTA